TATATATATATATATATAGAGAGAGAGAGAGAGAGAGAGAGAGAGAATTCATAACGTTAACAATTGACCCGTAACATTAACAATAACTCGTAGCATTAATAATTAACCCATAACTTTAATAATCTCCCAATACAAATATATATATATATATATATATATATAGAGAGAGAGAGAGAGAGAGAGAGAGAGAGAATTCATAACGTTAACAATTGACCCGTAACATTAACAATAACTCGTAGCATTAATAATTAACCCATAACTTTAATAATCTCCCAATACAAACAACAAAAATAATAAAAAACAAAAATAATAAAATAATCATCATCAATCATTTCAACTATCATCGTAGTACATTATGATAAAGAGAGAGAGAAAATAAAAATAATAAAATAATCCTTATCATATTTTAATAAAAAAAGAAAGAAAGAGAGAGAAGGGTATTATGGTCTTCCCATATTTTAATCTATTGAGTTTTGTGTTTTGGGGCTTAGAGAACAGAATCTTTATTTTTAGGGGTAAAACACCCATTGACCAAGTCTTGGGGGTGGGAAGCACGTTTCCTTAGCTTTTGGGGGCTAGAAGCATTTTTCCCTTTGACAAATCCTAATTTTGTTTTTTTGTGGGAGATAACCTCACCAAGATAGCATATTCATCATATTATAAAATTTTGATATTTGGTAATGCTACAATTTAAACTTAAAGCAAACAAAATATTACAAATTATAGTATTTTAAATCTTAAATTATTAATAAAACAAATAACATTTTAGAAATCTCAACCCATAACAAAATAACTGCACTTCAAATCCGAAATCCATATACTAAAAATTATAGGATTTGAAACAAACACCCCCTAAGAAAATTAAGATCGGTGGGCATATATAGATCCACAAGAGATAGAAAAGAACCGAAAAAAAAAATGGCGAACGAGCAGAGCATCGATCAGTTCAGATCCCAACCTCGCCTTCCCAGATTCGCGGCCCCGAAACGCTACGAAATCTTCCTCAAGCCCGATCTCATCGCCTGCAAGTTCGCCGGATCCGTACGAATCACCATCGACGTCGCCTCCGCCACCCGCTTCTTCGTCCTCAACGCCGCCGACCTCGTCATCGACAACGATTCCATCTCTTTCACGAGCCAGAGCTCTCCAAAGGAGTTTCGGCCTTCGGAGATCGCTGTCGTGGAAAAAGATGACATTTTGGTGTTGAGGTTTGATGAGGTTCTGCCACTTGGAGAGGGAGTTTTGGGGATTAGGTTTGATGGAACCCTAAACGATCAGATGAAGGGGTTTTATAGGAGGTATTTTTTTAATTTTTTTAATCAGTTGCTTGTTGTTTACTTGGGAGTTCTTATATTAGTATTTGATTACAGTGTTTACGAGCATAATGGAGAAAAGAAGAACATGGCCGTTACTCAATTCGAGCCTACTGATGCTAGACGATGCTTTCCGTGTTGGGATGAACCGGCTTTTAAGGTTTTTTTCCCTCTCTTCACAGTGTTTTTGTGATTTGGCGAATACAGACTGGGAGTAGGATTTGTTTATTTTCTAATAAGGTTAGGCAATTCAGAAGATCAATCAAAATAGTTCTTTCATGTTAGATATTTTGCTCTAGCTTCTTATTTATTGACCGGATTTTCATATTTCATATTGAAAATGAGTTATCATGCTTTGTAGTTTGAAGAAGAAACAATGTATATGATGAATACTCTGTCACACCCTGGTCCCTTGAGCCCGTTGGGGCGATGTAGTGGGATCCATGGAGTGCAACACATGGTTTGGCTCAAACCACTGCTAAAATTGGCTAGTTAGTCTTACACTTGGATCTCAAAGACCCATCATTTAAACCATTCAATCACTCAATCAATATTCGACGTGGGACTTAATCTTGGGGTATCACATACGCATATCTAACTTCCAAACTCGGAAGCAAATCTAGTTAACCTATATTCCTATAAATTGTAAAAGAAGAATTTTGGAGAGTTTTTTTTAAGTAAGAACTGTGATTACTACCCTCCCATTTCTATACTCTTTTTATTAGTTGGCGAGATTAGGGAAGACCCCTTGAAATCTAAAAGATTTGAAATTAGTTGAACAAAATCAAATGCATAGGATGGGACATAAGTTGTGAAAAGTAATGAGTGTGTAATATATATATTGGCAGTCAAATAGTAGTTAGAAGTAATTGATAGCTATACTATAGTTATCCTTAGCAGTGCACTACTGGGGGAGTTACGGTGTCATGATGTAGTTATAACTGTTTTGATGTTAAAAAGTCACTAGAAATTAAGGTTGTTGAAATATATAATTTTGTCTTTGTTTCTCTCCATCAGCAAAACATCTAAAAAAGTTTATGTACTAAAAAAAACTACTCCCACTTCTTTGATATTTTCCAATTACATAAGATGAGATTCTGGTAGTTGTGAAGAATTCAGTAGTCCTAATGGCAGGAGGTAACACATTAGTTTTTTATTGTCTCTAAACACTATCATGTTTATAAAAATTCTATGTTTGTGTTTATCTTAAACTTTATCATTCTTAAAGATAGTTTCAGAGTTTTTGGTTCAATGGGCCTTTGGTTGGATCTTCTATTTGTTTTGAAACTTTGTTAACATAGGTTGGAGCTCAAGGTTGAGTGTATGTGGCATTAAATTTGGTCCAACACGGGTCACGGCTCTCGTGGGTGCTCATGTTGTCACACTTTTCTGTGACTTTGTTCCTATATGAAGTGTTAAGTTAGGATGATATCTCAATTTGCCATTAAGTTGTCTCGGCGGCTGCTGAACTCCATCATGACCTCCAGAGCCTGAAACATAACCCTGGTGGCTGCTGAACTCCATCACGATCTCTAGAGCCTAAAACTTTAGTAACAAACATATATAAGAAAAGATATAATCTTTAGTGAGATATATAATTCAAAAATATTCCATAGAGATCATAGAGAGGGATGAGAGTAACTAACATGTATCACTGATCACAAGTTGCTCACCCGGCTGCTGAACTCCATCACGATCTCTAGATTCTGAAACATAACCAAAAGTTACAATATTTAGTAACAAACATTATTAGAAAGGATATAATCTTTAGTGTGATATATAATTCCAAAATATTAAAACCACAGATTATAAAGAGGGATGAGAGTATCTAACTTGTAGGAACCTCATTCATCGCAGGCTGCTCACCCGGCGGCTACTAAACTCCATCATGACCACCAGCCTGAGACATAACCGAAGTTACAATCTTTAATAACAAACATATATAAGAAAAGATATAGTCTTTAGTAAGATATATAATTTCAAAATATTATAACCATAGAGATCATAGAGAGGAATGAGTGTATCTAATCTGGAGGGACCTTAGTAATCACAGGCTGCTCAACTGACAGCTGTTGAACTTCATCATGACCTTCAGAGCCTGAAACATAATTAAATTTACAATAAGAAAAGATATAATCTTTAGTAAGATATATAATTCAAAAATATTAAAACCATAGAGATCATAGAAAGGGATGAGAGTATCTAACTGGAGGTACCTCAGTGGTCACAGGCTGCTTAGCTGGCTGTTGCTGAATTCCATGACAATCTCCAAAGCTTGAAACATAACCAAAGTTACAATCTTTAGTAACAAACATATATAAGAAAAGATATAATCTTTAGTAAAATATGTAATTCAGAAATATTATAATCATAAAGATCATAGAGGGATGAGAGTATCTAACCTAGAGGGACCTTAGTGATCATAGGCTGCTAACTCGGCGGATGCTGCATGCCATCACAACCTCCAGAGCCTAAAACGTAACCAAAGTTACTATCTTTAGTAACAAACATATATTAGCAAAAAAACCTTTAGTAAGATACATAATTTAAAAATATTATAACCATAGAGATCATAGAGAGGGACAAGAGTATTTAACCTGGAGGGACCTCAGTGGTCACATGTTGCTTATGCAGTGGCTATGGAACTCCTTCACGACCTCTAAAGCCTGAAACATAACCAAAATTACAATCTTTATTAACAAACATATATAAGAAAATATATAATCTTTTGTAAGATAATAGAAAACTAAAACAATCCAAATAGAGACCGAGAGTAGTAACCTGGAGGGACCTCCGTGCTCTTCGGGATAGGAGGCTCATTATGCCAGCGACGTCTTAAAACTCGATCATCGCCTTGAGAAGCTGAAATATAACAAATAATGCATTTTAATTCGTAACATCACTGAAAAAATAAAAATGCATCTGGGATTGCGAAATATTTACACTTGAAGAACCTCCACCGCAGATTAGCTTGCGTAATGATCCAAAGGATTGGGTAGTTCAGGAGGTAACACTTAAGTTTTGTGTTTACCTATAAACACTATCATGTTTACCAGACTTTACTTTGTGTTTAACTATAAACAATGCCTAGCACACCACAACAACAACAGAATGACGTTGCTGCAAGAAGGAAGTAAAAACTTGCAGACATGGTAAGAAACATGATTTGTAATTCTAGTCTGTCCTTGACCATTTGGAGTGAAACCTTAAAAATCCAGATTCTTCCAGGAATATAAGATGCTGGTGATATAAAAAAAAATACTGAACTTGAATAGGAATTCCTTGAAGATGTACCCAATTGGCTGATATCCCAAACCCATCCACCGTGTTTGAGAGTCTAGTTAGCTAGCTAGACATGACTGTTTTTGTCTTAGACCTGACCATATACATATTGGTAAAATGATTAAATATCTAATTATCTACTGATAACATAGCTACTTATTGACTGATGACTGAGTATAATATTTATTTCTCTTTTATTTTAAGCATATTCAGACATTATGATCTGTTTATCTTCATCAATAGGATATTAATATTAATTTTTATTTTAATTCAGTCAACTTTCAAGATTACGTTGGAAGTACCATCTGAACTTGTAGCATTGTCAAACATGCCAGTGGTGGAAGAGAAGCGTGATGGAATTGTCAAGACTTTCATTTTCCAGGAATCCCCAATTATGTCAACATACTTGGTGGCAGTTGTTGTTGGTTTATTTGATTATGTAGAAGCAATTTCACCTGATGGTACGGCAGTTATGTAAAACCTGTTCCTTTTTAATGTTTGCATCTTTCTCTTTTTCATAACTTATTGGCGTTATGTAGGGATCAAAATTCGTGTATATTGTCAAGTTGGTAAGGCCAACCAAGGAAAGTTTGCTTTAGATGTTGCTGTGAAGACACTGGACATATATAAAACGTAATTTCTAATTTATTTCTATAGTAATGCTTTTAATTAGTTTGTTTTTGTTGAAGCACTGTCTAAATATAATCTCCAACTTCTATGACTATAAGTTATTAAATTTGTTTCATTCTGAATAATTGAAATTGTCATGTATTTCATTAGTTGGCAGTTATTATTATTTGTTATTATTTCCTTTAGGGATCAGGGTTTAATTATGAAGATCTCATGTTATTATTCATTGTGATTTAGATACTTTGCTGTGCCTTACTCACTTCCGAAATTGGATATGGTTGCTATTCCTGATTTTGCTGCTGGTGCTATGGAGAACTATGGTTTGGTCACATATCGAGAAACGGCTTTGCTCTATGATGATCGCCATTCAGCTGCAGCAAATAAACAAAGGGTGATTTTCATCTGTGTTAGATGATCTCTGAATGCTTGGTTTGGATTTTGATACAATGCATGTTAAATTGCTATTTGCCTTTTGTCACTAGTAATCTGTGTTCTATTATTCTATAATCCGCATATTTCTACTAGTGCTTAAGTTTTGAGAGATGTTTTCCATAATCGCAATTGTGTGTTGGTTTTGTCTAATCATCAGATATAGCTATGTGCCTAAAATTAGATAAGTATGTGCTTACAGGTGGCAATTGTTGTAGCACATGAATTGGCACACCAATGGTTTGGCAATCTTGTGACAATGGAATGGTGGACACATTTATGGCTTAATGAGGGTTTTGCAACATGGGTAATCATGCTGATATGTTATTATCATTTATCTGAGTATCCCAAATTGTTCTTGTATACAATATTTTTCTTTTCTTAATCATATGTCTACAGGTGAGTTATCTGGCAGCAGATTCCTTATTCCCTGAGTGGAAAATATGGACACAATTTCTAGATGATTATACTACAGGCCTAAGGCTGGATGCACTTGCCGAGTCACATCCTATCGAGGTAAAAAAAATGCTGTCTCAGAAAGTAAAAGAAAAGTTCTATTCTTTTTCTTTCCTTTTTGCAGACTGCACAGGACATGTAAGTCTGGGCTCTATGCCTAGTAAGTTAATTGATTGCCATTGCAAAGTTGAAGAGCATGTGTCAAACGTAACCCTACAGTAGTAGTAAACATTGTATATCTCCTTTAATGATCCTCTGCAAAGAAGCAAAAGAAAAGTTAAATTCTTTTCCTTTTGCGGAGAACTGCATAGGACATGTGACCTCCTTTAAGTGTGTCAAGTAAGTTAATTGATGACTATGCAAGAGTTGAGGAGCTTGTGTCAAATGTAAGCCTACAGTAGTAGCAACAATATATATCTCCGTTAATGATTCTCATGTTAGATAGTATGTATTACATGTCCGTAAAAACAACAATATGACCATTAATACTGGTTTCATCCTATGATAGTTTGTATAAGATTGTATTTGTCTTTTGGTCATGCAAATCTGAGTCTTCTTCCTCCATTAGGCACTTTCTTTATCTTAGTCTCTGTAATTTTGTACATGTTCCTTAATTCATTAAGCAAATGAGTTCACATTGCTTAGGCACCTCAACCCCTGTTTTTCTAATCTCTATAAATTCTAACTGATAATTGTAGAACGGTAGTTAATTTTGAGAATGAATTAATTGTTTTTTTACTGGGAAACTAAAGGATCGTCTATAATAAAAACTTATTCCTAGAACTTAACTCGAATGCTCACATTATTTGTGATTCTAATTTCATGTCTTCAGTTGTCCGTCATGAGTTTTTTTCCCTTACAGCAAGGGTCTATCATTATTAATGATTGCCTGCACTTTAAGTTCATTAGCAATCAGCTTCATGACAATGCCTACATTGTTGCCCTTAGTTAATAAAAATTAAATTATGTTAATTTATATATTAAGCATGGTGCATCTTTTTAGGTTGATATAAACCATGCAAGTGAGATTGATGAAATCTTTGATGCGATAAGCTACAGAAAAGGAGCATCTATCATTCGTATGTTGCAAAACTACCTTGGTGCTGCATGTTTCCAGGTTAGTAGATGGGTTGCAAGTTTTGCACTATGTTTTTGCTTGTGACTGTCCTCTTGCAATATTATCTAAATGTTGATAATATGTTTCAGTTCAGCATATGTTTTATATGTTTCCGTTTTGTTTTTGAACTACTTGGTTATTGGTCAAATTTATGTGAGTGGTGCAAAAAGAGTTTACTTATTATGAGCGGGGTTGTCCATTCTGATACTTGCTTCCTGTAAGTATCCTATTGAATCTTTTTTCTGTCAGTCAGAAGTGCTTGTACCACTTTATATTAAGATGGAATACTCAACTTGTAAAAAATTTCTGACGCTTCTTCTAAGTTTAGGCAAGATTTTGCAAATTCATACAATCATTTTAGGCAGAGTAATATATGCATTTATTTGCAGAGATCCCTGGCTTCTTATATAAAAAGATTTGCGTGCTCGAATGCAAAGACTGAAGACTTGTGGACTGTACTTGAAGAAGAATCAGGTGAACCTGTGAAGACATTGATGGATTCATGGACTAAGCAGAAAGGTTACCCTGTAGTTCATGTGAATGTCAGAGAAAGAGTACTTGAGTTTGAGCAGGTTTGTTGAATTTGTTTCTTTCTTTTTTATTCCCTAGTGCAATGAATTGAACTGACTTTCCTCTTCCACTTTTTTTCTGACTAATATCTGTTTGGAGTGTAAACTGGTTGGTAGGATCCATGTTAGACCCCAATTTGACCCTATGAAATTAAGGTGGACCAGAATCTGAATCAGAATTCAGTAACCTGAGTGAGATCTGAGTGAGGACTTATATCTGAATTAGAAATTTAATCTCTGGCCAGATCAGGATTATCATATCATGTATTTTCAAAGAGACGTTTTCAAGAGAGACATTCTCTGGTTTTTTACTGTGAATAGGAAGAGACTTTTCAGTTTTCTGGGCTGTCATTTTGATTTTTGCATATGATGGAGGGAGTTCATAAGTTAGCTGGAATTTGTGATTGTGAACTGTTAACTTAGACACTGTTTGCCTTATGATCACTGCCCTTTATAGCCCTGAGCTCGTTCCATTATGCTCCAATGTTTGTATTATGTTCTTTTGCTAAAGACGCATGGACTGCATAGCAAAGCGTATTAAAGGATAGTGGTCGGTTTGGATAGAGAAAAGGGTAGGGGAGGGGGATGATTGAAGTAGACCCAAGGGGAGGGAACGGAGAGGAGGTGAGTGTAATGTAATTAATTGTGTTTGGATAGACAACTAGGGAATAGAGAGGGAGGGAGAGTGCTGGAACTACTTTGTATTTGTTTATAGTAGAAAATAGGAAGACAAGGGAGCAATTCACTTAAAATCCAACCCCTCCCCTCACAATCCGTCCACTTTATGAGGGTTAAAAAAGTGAGAAAATTTGCTTCTTTTTTCCCCCCCCCCCCCCCCACAAA